CTCATTCCTTGGTCAAGGTAAACCCAGTGAGTGTTACAAAAGCAAAAGGTGGCTGCTTTGAAGAATCTGAAGTATAAAACATTTTCTGGTTTGTTTAACACTTTTTTGTGTTTTTGTTTACTACTTAATTCCATAGTGTTCCTTCATAGTTTTGATGTCTTCTATATTAATCTACAATGTAGAAAATAATAAAAATAAAGAAAAAACATTGAATGAGAACGTGTCCAAACTTTTGACTGGTACTGCATATATATATATGTATATATATATATATATACACACAATATAAACCTATAAACTTATGTATAAATTGTATAATGAAGCTTACACAGCAGTAATGCAGGAGAAAGGGAGCAGTTTGAGAGTACCTACAAAACAAACTTTTAGAGCAATGTACTGAGAAAATCAATTGTCTTATATGATTTAAATCATTGATATTAAAACACTAATGTAGTCATAATTTCATGAAACTAGTAAACTAGCCACATTGAAAAATAGACTTTTCACTCCAGAAGAGATAAAAGTGATTTTGTTTGTTTTCGGCATTGTTCTGTGAAAAATAACATTGTCGTTCTGTGTACTGCTCCGAATCCCATTTTACTGCAGCCATAATAATTAGGGATGTTTTTAAAAAGCTTGGTTTTCCTTACCATTTCCTACAGAGCGTAGAAGACAGGGGCTAAATTGCAGGCATCACAAAGAGGTTAGGGGTCAAATAGTCAACTCCTTGCATTCTGATTCTCAGAGTCTTTGGCCAAAAGTTGCCCCTGACTACGAGATGCATCAAAGTTGAAGAATCAACTCTTTGGGAATCAACTGCCCATCACTGGGACAAGGCTGACTGTAGTAGCTAGTTGTACATTATTTCATCCTGACTATGTGGTGACAGCTGCTCTTCCTAATGAAATATTTGTAATCAGGGTGCTTTTTGTTTGAATCTGCAGTTGTATTTGGTGACCAATAACTGATTATTAGTAGGGGTGTAAAAATGCATCAGTGCATCATGATGAATTTAAACATGTTGATTCAACAGCATACATTATGGAAAGTCAGGGTTGATTATAACATTCAATAAAATATGGCTTCATATTTTTAATATTTGAATGTTTAATATTAATTTGCTTTTTATTGATATATGATATATGTGGAGTAAAAAACATTAAAAAACACTCAAACTTCCAAAGCCACTACATGACAAAACTAGAGCTTTGTTGTACATCCCTAGTGCACAAAGATGCACATCTCTACGTGCTTTGGGGGATTCTCCTGGACAGGCTGGCTGTGAGGCAAGAAGAAAACAGAAAGAAGGCCAGGTTTCAGCTTAACTTGAAACATTTCAGGCTGTGGAAAATATAAACAGGCTGTGAAGACTTTAGAACTGAATCTCTATTGATTACTAAATGTGTTCCACAGGGCTCAATTCTGGGTCCAGCTTTGTTCTCAATCTCTATTGGCAACATTATCTCCACTGTAACAAGTTGTAAAGTGCATCTTTTTGTAGACAACACTTTTTCTGTACTGTTGCACAGACTCTGCACATTCTGCTGTGGAGATGATGCCTTACAAGCTGCATTCTACAATCAAAAATAAGTTTTGAATGCTGATAAACTATATTCGTGCCAGGTTTTTCCGAATAACAGTAATTTGAATATGTCTGCCTTGAAGGGAGAGTGAAAAAATGTATTCGTTTCCAAGCTCTCTCTCTGAAATGTGATTGGTTGGTTGTGAGGTGAAAAGAACAGAGAGAAATCAAACAGCCTTTGCAGAGAGAAGGCATAATTTCAGCTCGGCTCTGACATAAACACTGCTGTATCTGCCAGTCAGGAGAAATATCAGTCAGCTTGAGATCACTCACGGCTGATCATGGATGATCAGAGCTGTAGATTCTAAAATGATCAAAGCAGTGAACATTAAAAATGTATTTCTAATAAAATTACGGCACAGAATGACGCTCTAGTAAAATTAGTGTCAGAAATAAAAAAGGTAATAAAATTAATATTTAGAATGAAATTCTAATAAAATGAATGTCCAGAATAAAGTTCTAAAAATGTATATCGAGAATGAAGTTCAAATAAAGTTAATATCCAGAAAGAAGTTCTAAACTTCCAATAAAATTAATACCTGAAATTCATTTCTAAAAAAATTTATATCTGGAATTAATTTTTAATAAAATACATATCCAGAATGAAGACAACAAAATTAATATGCATTAAACACCAGGTTTTGTTTCTTAGACTGTTTTTCCATTGCACAAAGTGGAACTGTGGTTTTTCCACTGGCGACTGGTCCAGTACCAAAGGTTTTAGCTTCATGATCTTTGGTACCTGAGCAAGATTGGTACCAACAGGATGTAGTGGAACTCAAAGATGTTCTCCCTCTGTCTTTGCTAACACTTGCAGCTGAAGCCAATTAGTGAATTAGTGAATTATTTACTCTTCCAGGTGAACATTAATTCACCACTATTACATCATCATTAAGTGTACCAGAATGTAAACCACGCATTTGTTCTCAGACTTATCACTTTGTAATGAGTTTGTTAAGGTGACATAAGCCAGGTAGAAAGCTCATGCTAACATTATTATCGGTGTCGTTAGCCACTGAGTGATTTACTAATATTTCGACACTCAGAAAAATATGTAAGCTTTCTTTAATTCTACAACTGATTCTGTGTAATTGTAGATATTTTTGTCATTGTATGAGCACAGAAGATTATTTCATGTGAGCGCAACACGTGTTTAGCCATGATAATTAGTAAGGAAAGTAGCTAATGTGTCTGTTCACACTTTCAAGAAAAAAAATATAAACTTTGATTCTACACATTTTTGTTAGTGCAGAATAGGTCCTGCAATACATTTAGACAACAGGCGATCACATTAGCTAATTAACCAAACTAGAGTGACATTAAAAGACCAAAAAGACAATTAAATCATCATTTCTTCACCAGTTCTTATGAGTATTATGATTATCTCAAGCAGCTGGAAAATAAAGTAGAACTTTAAGTACTGTTGGTTCCTGTTTTGGACAGTTGTTGTTTTTGAATGTGCAGTGGAAAAACACCAAAACTGTAAGAAAGAGAAGAGAGAGAGACTTTTTAAAACATGTATTCTTAACATGCTAATTAGCATCCAACACTGTTGTTACATCAAGAAAGTAAATTTTTGGGTAGCATTTTACTGTAGGGCAGTGTTCATAAGGCTACACCTATGTCAGGTGACATCACAGATGGAGTAGGACCTGTTTCCAGACCAGGAGTTACATGATACAGACCAGCCCATCCAAAGCTCTACACACACACAGACTTTACACAAATTTGATATGATAATGTCTCAAAGCTGATGTTGGCTTCTTATTTCTGTTCTACCTTAAAAAGTGCAACAGTTGCACGCTAGTAACCATACTGGTGTCTGAATGCAACTGCTGCAACATTTAAGGTGGAACAAAAAATAAGAACATGTGGAGGTAGTTCCACTTGAGGTGGGGGGCCACTAGTTTAACCCCTAAATTACTGCAAATATACGCTTGGATGTAACATTTACAGCTAATCTGAATGTTCTGGTGCTTCTATGTGAGTTTATGTATGAGCTCACAGTAACCAGTAGCCTTTTAGTAGCCTAAAATGCTACCAGTTCACCGGGAATCCTCCCAACTCTCCTGATTACCCAGTCTGGTAGTGGGTGACACTGACATTTTCAGACATCAGGTTGTGTCATGGTACTTTTTTGGGTGAAATGACAAAGCATTTTATAACAACTGACATTGTAGCTAAGTGCATATCACAGTGCCATAATGCTGATGATGTGACATAGCTTAAATATATAATATATTATAAACGGTAAAATAAAACTTACTGGGCCTGAAGCACTCAAAAAATGTTCACTTTTGTTTGACCAGCCTGACATTGCTAGCTATTGCACATTATCAGCATTATGGCACTGTCACATACACTGATCTAACAACCTAATATCAGAAAAAAAATCAACATCACCTGATATAGAGGTTATGTCAGTGTTGGCAAATGCAATCCTTATGACAAATGATGCCTATTAGAATAAGCATTTATAAATATTTATATAGGTTTATGTCAGTTCAAGCTTATGTAGGTATCATATAGATTTACAGTAAAGGGTTACCAGATTTTTAAATTTAACTTATTTAGCCTGAAAAAAATAGTCCTCTCAAATAAAAGCCTAAAAACCAGCAGAAGTGGAGCTGGCACTGTTTTGATATAGCAAACTTTTGAGTGTGTGATTGAGGTTCGCTGTCTTGAGACTGTGTGTGTGTGTGTGTGTGTGTGTGTGTGACAGTGAAAATAGGGCATGTGTCCGGGGCCTCTGAGCCTCACTCTGATGTGATTAAATCACCCACCGCACTTCATTAAAAAATCACTCACAACCAACACTGACCCACTATTTTCTACTGTTCTGCGGAATAAAAGTGTGACAGGCTGCAGTGTGTGTCAGAGTGTGTGTGCAGATGAGCAGAGAAATAAAACTTACTCTGTAGAGCGCGGTGTGAGGGAAAAGTGGTCACACATTTTTTGTCATAAAAACACAGCTGAATTCATGTTTCAAATGAAAAATAAAGACAAATAATATTACAGACAAAAAATAAGGACCAATCAAACAGTTGCATGCAAAGAATTGGGTGCCCCAGGTCAAATTCCACATACATCATCTACAGAGAGCACACTTCTGCACACTTTAATGCACAGTTACTTATCATTATAATTAGCTGAATTTAACATATTGGAACAAAAAACGTAGTCAGCGCAAATGTTACGGTATATTTTATATTTGATGTTTTTTCCACTGTCCTGTTGGTTTTCCATTGTGCAATTCAATGAAAAAAGTGGGTGTACTCTGTAGAGGATGTTTGAGGAGAGGTGTTCAAACCTTTGCATATGACTATATTTTGGTCAAAGAAATAAGGATCATTCACAATCATTTTTCACATGAAAAATAAGGACCAATCACATTGCAGAAGGAAAAATAAGGACCAATTATGTCTCACAGGAAAAATAATGACATGACCAATAATGTTTGTTAGGAAAATTTAGGACTAATCACATTTCAGAGGAAAAATAAGGACCAATCAAATGTTAATCAGACGTCTTTTACCCAGTAATTTTAACCACAATGATGAGTTGAATTCACTGTCTTATTATGTTGCTTAGTATGTTAATTTCATCTATAACTTTATGGGTGGTAAATGGAGCTGACTAGTTTAACTAAGTTCTGACCTGGTACTTAGTCAATACCTAGCTAGTTGCTGCATGGTGTAGGCCAGGCATGTCAAACTGGGGATCTTCTGGGCCAAAGTGTCACAGAGATTAGTGCTGCGGAGTTTCCCTTCATCTAACCCTCTGAATTCAGTTCACGAAGGCCTTGCTAATTAGCTGATGAGGAGAATCAGGTGTGTTTAATGAGACAGTGTGCTGACATCTGCAGTGTTTTAGCCCACGAGGACTGGAGCCTGACACAAGTTGTGTAGGCTAACTAAGTCAATAGCTAGCTACTTGGTTTGGTATGTGCATGGTGAAGGCTAACATTTGGCTTGATGATTAGCCAGCAAATGAAGTGGATCACTGCAGCTACTGTAGCTACAGTAGCTACATAAGCTAATTTTAGTCAACTTATGCTCAGCCCCACCCTCCATATTCCAGTGTAGCTCCTGCCAATGCTCAGTAAATCCCCAGTTTGTCCCAGAAATCGCAGATGTCACTACGTGATCCAGGCTGTGCGTGTGAGTGGATGGTCAAGTTCATCATTAGCCAACCGCTGGAGGCGCTGTACCGTGGCCACGTTGGGGGGCGCTGTTGCCTGCAGAACTCAGTCAGTGGGGTGTGTGAGGAGGGGTCAGAGGCATGGGCGAATGAACCCCAGTAACATAGCATGCGATTGGACAGCAGCCGCTCTGCTGGGGTCATGGTGAAGTTAGCCACTGTGGCTGTGCCAAACAAAAAGGGAAGCTCCGCTCCATGACACACATGATCATAACAGAAGGTCAAACCAGACCAAACACGATGGTCACTCGCAGCGTGATCAAAAACATATGTCCATACAGAGCCACTGGACAGTGCTGCAGCACGAGCAGCCCTCCGGGAGGGACACAGGAAGATGTAATCTGTCACAATCTGCAGAAAAAACTGAGAATTAGTCATCATAGTCACAAAAACACAACAGGGCACTCTAATTTTTTTGACATAGGTTTTCTGTTATTGTCAATTACATTGGAAATGTTTATATTGCTTATGTAATATACTTACAGTTACAATAGGATTTCCTATATAACAATTAATGATATTTTGAGATAAGAGTAAATCTCGCACATAAATGGAATTAAAATATAGACTTCTTAAAGTCCCAGAAATACTAAAATATTAAAATGTGTGTATGATACTAAACGTCAGTGTTGTATGAATCATCCAGCAAAGTTTGAAAGAAAAACACAAGATAGAAATATAAAAAAAACATGGCTTAAAAATCATGTATCAAAAGACCTATATGAGAACTGTCTGTGCAGCGTCCTGATATTCTGATCATTGACAGCCTTCAGTCCAACACTCTCAGCCTGCTACATCACTGAAGCAAAACTAAACACAACGGTGTGAGTGAAACGGGTAGAAATGAATGAATCTGGCTCTTCGTATACATGTGATGCTGTAGACGCTCCCTGCTGTGTCCTCAGCTCACTAACAGCATTGTTCAGCTTTTATATGGCAACGTCTTAGAAAAGGTAAGGGTTTTATTCCCTTTATTGCTGGATGTGCATCCAGGGAATGCTGGAGTGACCGGTTAAATGAACGATTGAGCGACAGGCAGACAGATGAGCTAGCTTGCCAGCTCAGTTATGCTTCCTAGGTTAGCTTTTGCTTGGTTGGTATTGGTGTTGTGGTATTTGAGTCCAGTCTCAGTCTCAAGTCCAGTCTCAAGACCATAAGTTAACGCTCTCGGTTATGTTTTAACATCATTTGGAAAACCTTCAAAGAGAATAAAACTCTACATTTTCTCTACATACATACAACACCCTGCATATACCTCTCCACCAGGGCCCACACAAAAGACCACAAAATCTTCCATGGTCCACAAGAAGATTTTACAGATCTGATCATTTTTTCTCACTAACGTAATGAGAGTTGTTCTTGTTTGACAGCTACCAAGAGTTGCATGTCAGGCTGAAGAAGGTTATAAACAGAGTTCTGGCTCAATGTGACAGGTTTAGATACATATTTGCTAGGTTTAGTTTCCAACTGACAGTAAATTGTTGGGTTTCAAAGTTTTAATTTAAAAAGATCCAAACAACACAAAGCTGTAATTGCTCATTTTTCAGTTCTCATGCATGGGAAGCGCATGTTACTTTTACACTGCTGTATTTTCTTCATTTTGGTTTATGCTTGGCATTCTTGGTTTTCTTATTCTGGGATATGATGGGTGTTGCACTTGTAGATGGTCCAGCCTCAGGATCTTTTCTTTTGAAACCATTTTTAACCATTTATCCACAAAGGATGAGTTCCACATGGTAGAAAAGTGAAACATTTTACATTGACTTGCACAAAATATTTTTTGCAAATAATAAACAGTATTCCACCTATTTAAAACTATGTTTAGGTAAATATGTATATTTAAATAAATGTTTGTCGTTAAAATAAAAATTGATGGCCCTAACAGTACCACCACTCAGGGGCTGCCGCCCACATGTTGGAAACCATTGCTCTACATGTTTACATACAATCTGTTCACTGTTGATCTACAAGATCCTTTCTGTAATGGCTTAACTGGGTATTACTTGTTTGTTGATTTTTATTGGTTCCAAAATTCAGTCATCCAGTGAACCGACATCAGCCTTGTGTTTATTTGGGGGCACTGCTTATGTATGTAAACTAAGATAAGTTTGCATCAAAAGAGGAGAATTTTGGAGTAATATATCATACAATTATCAGGCATTGGAAAGTTATTCACAGGACATACTTTGCACTTATATACAGTTTGCCTGAGCAACATTAACCTACTAAGAAAGAAAACACGGAGAAAACTCTGGGACTCTAGTTGATCTTGTACTCATTGAAAGGTGATGAAAAAGGGGAATGGTCATTTTACAAGGGAGATGGCTCTTGTTTTTGTTTTTGACTGGGGGTATGGCATCCCCTCACATCCCCCCGAAACAGTCAGAGGCAAGTGTGTGATGATTTAGGTATACTAATTGGTGGAGTATAAGCTTGCTGCTACATGACTTGGCTGCTACATTAGCCTCATAGCTCCAGTACTAAAACTAAATAAGCAAACTTGTGTGTGAAATGTGTGTAAAATAGCTGCTAATTTGATTCTGAGTGTTCATTATGAAACAGAGAGTTTTTAACCACACTCCACAAACACACTCAAGGCCATCACCTACATACACACACACACACACACACACACACACACACACACACACACACACACACAGTAATATCACACAAGAGTGTGTCTCTGTGCTGGAGCTCCTCTATCATCCTTAGACTGCTAAACACCTTCTGCTTTTTCTCTCTGATTAACACATGCAGCCACAGTGCCCCCCTGTGGCAGCTGAGAAACAAATATAATCACAAGTATATGAGGACCAGATTTGCCAAAATGAAAAATAAATAAAATTAAAAATAAATGGTTTTGTAAATTAATATATGAAGAAGAATTACAAAGAGTAGTGATGATAAATCTAAAAATAAATAAATATACATAACAATGAATATATTAACAAATAAAATTTTAGAAATTAATATGTCTGCATTTATTTATGTCTTTATTAACATTTTTTTGTTTTTCTATAATTTATTTTATTAATTATTTCTACAACTACTAATTTCTTTCTTTATTTATTTCTCTATTTATTTCTGTATTTCCTTGTCCTTATGCTAATAAAGGGGCTGTGAGTCAATGATATCACAGCGTCTTAATATTCCTATTGGTTGATCGATTGTACATGTCTTGCTCTCTCAGCGGTAACTAAGGACAAGACAGTACATTCATGGCTTCTTACAGCAGCAGACAGTCAGAGATCTGACACTCTCGGCTGATCTGACTGAAAATGCAGGTCCGGGTTATTGACTCTTCCGTGTGGAGACTGTGGGGACAGTTTGATCCATTTTGCTGCCTCTGCTGATACAGAGGTCGACCAGTAGTGTTCAGAACAGAGGAGGTGGTTCATCGTCTTTTTCTGTAAAATTCAGATCACTTAGACATTTGGACGCACTTCTCACATTCAGCCTGTGGAAGCAATCGAGAGTTATTTATCGGCAGGTTTGTCTGTCCGTGCAGTTCTTTATGGAGTTGGTAAAAGGACAGTTTAATCAGCTCTTCTCCTCCTGGGCTTGATTGCTAAGCCTGAACGTGAAAAACACGCCCCCTCATTATCATATGAACGAAGAAATACAGAAATAAATGAATTAATGAAAAAATAAATAAATGAATTAATGAATAAATAAATAAATAAATGAATACATGAATCAATGAATAAAGAGAACATTTGTTAAAAATATAGATATGGAAAAATATATAAAAATGGCCTTAATAAAACAATCAATAATACAGAAATAAATAAAATTGAGAAATATATAACTGCAGAAAAAGGAAATGTGTGTATAATTACAATCACAATAAGCAATATATACTTTATTTAGTTTTTTTATTGATTAATTTACTCAGCCATTTATTTTTTAATTTTATTTATCTTTCAATTTGGCAAATCTGGTCCTCCATACAAGTACAGTGTAAAACAAAGGGGAATTCTAACGATTGTTTCTTTATGCACAGTCATTCAGATGGTGAACACCAATTTGTTCATTGTCCAAAACCACCAGTGAACCTACATGACTTCTGCGTACTGTTGAAGATGATAAAATGGTGTGTGATCTATATCTATGATCTAGATTCTAGAAATAAATCTGAAAAAAAGATGTTCTTTGGGGACTATTTTGTCCTACAACACCCTGTATATACCTCTCCACCAGGAATGGAAAATAGAAAAAATACATTTAAGACCTTATCTCAAAACTACACAAAACAATGTCTCAGACACCAGGCAGTACATTTATATAATTTCATGCAATAACTTTCTGTGAGGGAGCTTTAAGAGGCATTAAACTCTTCAGACATGCGGTTCCCATCACCACCACTGTGAACAATTCTGACTTAGTAAGTTTCTCTAGAACGGAGCATCTCACACCAAACCACTCTGAACGACTTTATAATGAATACGATTCAGCATTTGTCCTCAAATTCATAGAATTTCACTGTACAGTGAAAACACACACACACACACACACACACACACACACACACACACTCACACACACACACACACACACACACACATTGATGCTTACCTGTGCAAGCATATCCCGGTGGTCTGTGTTTTTGTACAGGGGGAGGTATTTGCGCAGAACTTTGAGTGTATGTTGTTTGAAGATGGCTGTAGTGTAAACCGTACACTCCACTGCTGACACAGGCTTCAAGAAAACACCATAAACAAAAATAACACCCTCCTCAGAGGTGGTACCTACACACACACATACACACAGAAAAAGAGATGAATTCAGACATCACTAATTACTACTCTTTGTTCTTTATATCTTCAAACGTAAGGAATCACTTGTGGTTTTATTCAGTAATAACTTTTTACTGTGCAGCATAGCGAGCTATTTATAAAGTGACTGTAGCAGTGATTAGCGCAGTCGTATATTTTTACACCATAATTTCAGTGTCCTAGGCGAATAAATAAAATTTCAATAAAAGTCATTATACAAATGAGATCATCCATATTAAAGATCCGCACCAAGTGAAGATTCGTTGGCTGCCAAAAAGGACACAAAGAAAGAAACGAGAACAAAGAAAACACAGTTGTGAATTTTAAGGGAAGAAGTGCTAACAAATAATAAATTGTTTGATACAGATGCAGCCAAAATTAAACAGTGGAGAAAGATACAGGAGACAATTGCAGATTTACCATTTACCTTTTAATCAAGAAACAAAGTTTCTTTATCAGCAAATGTTGTTGAAATAAATATGAAAATATTATTTAATCCCACAAAAACTTCTTACTGGGAAAGACTGCCATCAGAGTGGTTTAGGCATTATTTTTTTGTGGGATTGTGTTGTTGCCGGCAAATATGAAAGAACATCATGGTAAATCTGGCAGTGTGTTTTATGAATATGGTCCAATATCTCTACCATATGTAGCCCATGGTCTGATCTTTCTCTTTGAGAAATCTTGCAGTTTCTTACTGCATTTATGTTTTCCTGTTTCCCAGTTTCATTTTTTGACCCTTGATTTCTGGTTTAGCTATCATGAATGTGTCTGCTGTGTATTTTGCCTCCTGTCTGTGGTGACTATGAATTTTGGACTGACCAAAATAAAACTACCTAGGGAATGAATCTTGCCTCAATGTCCCATTAATTTTATTAACTAGACACAAAAAAGGGTTTTACTAAAGTATTTTGGGAACAACAAGAAGTTATTAAATGATAAATAATAGTAAAATAATAATATCATTTACAATATTTTTGTGGACTTATATTCCTTTAAAACTGATCACCACTTTTTCACCAAATTCTGGGTATTAATTTTATTTGAACTTTATTCTGGATATTAGATTTATTTGAACTTCATTGTGGATATTAATTTTATCATAACTTTATTCTGAAAATCAATTTTATGATAACTTTATTTTGAATCTTATAATTTCATTCTGGAGATACAAATTATCAGTAGAGTGTGTGTGTTTTGTGTTTTACCAAGAAATAAATAGAAATGTAAATAAATAAATATTAAATTGATGTATTTTACCCAGCAGCACAGGTTTGTCCTTCTGCCAGTGTCCTTTCTGGAAGGCACTGACAGCCTGTTCCTGGATCAGCAGTCCATCTATATATGGCCCCCAGCTCTCAAACACCTCCAAAAACCGGAAAGGATTTACCAGCTTAGAACCTCAGAAAACACAGATCAGAAAAACAAATAAACAAACAAACCCAATCTCATGCCCCTTGACTTCTATTCTAAGTAAGTTTAGAGTCAGTAGCTTTTCATTTTTTTTCAGGGAAATATGTTGAGGTTATTTTCTGTGATATTTGACCATATAGACTCTCACTGGATTTAATCTGAGCAGCAAGAACAGTCTGAGAGCTCAGAGACTGCAGACACAGGTAGTCCTGCAGTGAGCAGTTGGTTAGCTTAGCGAAATTCTTCCCCAGCTTCAGAGACTCATGCCTGCAGAACAACACACACAGTGCAATTATCCATACAGTCATTACAATAATAATATTATTAGAATATTTCAGAATAATGAAATGAATATAATGACACCAATTCTCTTCTTCAGGCTCACCTACAAATGTACTCTTTCGCAGCTACTGCTGGCTAAGCTTTACAGAACATTGGTGAAAATCCTAATGAGAAACTTCAGCACACTGAAGGGATTGTAGTATAAACTGAGTTGTGAGCTACAGTGTTTCATTAGGTTTAATGGGATTTTTACCAGCGTTCTGTTAAACGTGTAGCAGTAGCTACTTTTGTCTGCAAAGCTTGTAAAGGGGGAGTACAAATGCATCTTCAGCATCTGTGTAATAATAATAATAACAATAATAATAATAATAATAATAATAATAATAATATAGTTATAGAGCACACTACATTAACAACATTTATTAGCAATGTGTTACATAGTGTGTATTTGTTTGTGTGTGTGTGTGTGTGTGTGTGTGTGTGTGTTTGTTACCGTGTCTTTAGTGGGATAGAGAATGGAAGGCTCTGTAGGACTGCCTGACTGAACAGTGGTTTACTGCTCTGCATCATGAGGTGTAAACTAACAGACTGAGCACCAGCACTTTCACCAAATATTGTCACCTGAAACAAACAAACACACACACACACACACACACACACACACACACACACACACACACACACACACATATACATACAATTACTGCAAGAGCATTCGATGATAAAAGTAGAGTTTAATATGGAATGAAATATGGAATATAGTCAGAGTGCCCCTGCTGTTTGTGCGCAAAATGTAGGTAATCAATAAATTAGAGATGCTGCACATTACAGGTTGCACCACATAACATGCTGTGTCGCCCCTCTACTGTTATATTTCACATGGCAATTTATTATATTTGATATGCAATTTTTCTAAATTAGAGTAAAAGACAGAAATGCTGTTTTTACAGGCATTTACCCGAAACAGATTGCATACTTGGTCTGACTGGTGGTCGCTATCATGCATCTCGTGAAGCTGTGCTGACACCAAGCCATAGGTTTAGTACTTCAATTATATTTTCATCATCACAGTTTTATGACTCAGTAAAATGTTCTGCTGTTATATTGTATTCATAAAGTGCATGTACAGTCGTTTCACAAAAAAATTACACATTTCTTTTCACAGAAAGACAGAGAAAATATACAGGCTAATTCAGCAATTTTGTATTCTGAAAAAACTGCAAAATGTGACTGTTGTTTGTATTTGTCAGTAGGTCTGTGCAGGATATCACTTTGCTTTTATGAAACACATGCCTTTTTCACTAACTAGGCTAATGTAGCTGATGTTAGCTAGGACCAGAAACAGTGAAAATATATTTCCATGACAAGCTAACATGCTGGCATGTTATCCACTGAGAAGAAAAGAGCTTGTCCTCATCAGCATCAAATGAGCCAGTTAGCTGTAATGTTAGCATCAGAGCATCTGAAGAGGCAGCCTCTGTTACTCATTCAACACGAAAATCTACCTATTTTTATATGTTTTCAAATTTTTGCCTTATAACACCAGTGCTGTTATCTAAAAGGCAAGCCTACAGATTTACGTTCATTTTGGATTTTATTTTCTTTTTTGCAGTTAACTAGATATTTATTCATTTGACTATTAACCATACTAAAATATCAAAATTAGTCAAAACGCACTTCCCTATTTAAAGGCGACTGTGGCACCGCTGTTAGAGGAGAGATAGCAATTACAGATGTCATGTAAGAGAGTCCTTTAGCCTGAGTTGCTTTAATTTAGTTTGCTGCTTCTTCTGTTCTGTTTGTGTATGTGTGGTGTGTGTGTGTGTGTGTGTGTGTGTGTGTGTGTGTGTGTGTGTGTGTTTGTGTGTGTGTGTGTGTGTGTGTCCTTGCCTTGCCAGGATCCCCCCCAAACATAGCAATGTTCTGCTGGACCCACAGAAGAGCGGCCTGCTGGTCCAAAATTCCATAATTCCCCACTGCAGCTGATTTGGGATCCTTCCCTGACACCAGAAAACCAAACGCTCCTACAGAGAGAGAGAGAGAGAGAGAGAGAGAGAGAGAGAGAGAGAGAGAGAGAGAGAGAGAGAGACTTCAGTCCATATTCATAGACAACAGTGTCTCATACAGTCTCAGAAACCACATAAGCAAGTCTATTTGAGATACTTAACAACGCAACACAAATTGAGAACAGTGTGTGATGATTTAGACGTTAGCACCATGCTAATTAGCATACTAGTAAGCTTCCATTTCTTCAGCTCTATTAGGCTCTCACAGTGGAGTAACAAGGAGCCTAAGGCTCCAATATAAAAAAAATGTAGAGCCCTTGGTACAAAGGTTACCTTCAATGAATGAAAAATTCACAAAGGAATTTACTGTTTCTCTGCAAAATTGGTGATTGATTGCAGGCTAATGATTAATGTGTATTTTAAAGATGTTGTAGTTACCCATAAATCATGGGTGTAAAATGGATAACTGCCAAAATAAACAGTTCAATAAAGCCAGTAAGAGGCCCAGTCAACTGGGAGTTCATGAAATTCATGCTGGTCTAAACAGTTTTTTGTGCAGACCTGTGAGTGTGAGTGTGCATGTGTGTTTGTGTGTGTATGTGTGAGAGCATGAGTGTGATCGTTTGCGTATGTGATACCCAGTCTGTAGGCCACAGTGACCACCACAGTGTGTGTGAAGTTGCTGATGAACCGGGAGTCATACAGCAGTTTGGAGGCAGAGCCTGCGATGAAGTCTCCGCCATGGATCCACACCATGACCGGCAGTTTCAGCACGGTGGCGCTAAAGTTCACACTCAGAGGAACGAAAACGTTCAGGTACAGACAGTCCTCACTCACCTACAACACACACACATACACAACATGCATGCCTGCTGGATACTCTATCATCTAGAAGACATTAAACATTAAACATTTCCTTAGTTCACTTCATGCTGCTTTATTAACAGGACTAATAATGGTACATTTGTACATCTATAGTTACTATAGATATTCAGACATTGTATATTAGCTATGGCAATAGTTATAAAGTTGCACAGTAGTTACAGAGTAGTTATACAGCGTTATTATTGACTAATGTGTCAGTTCTATAGTTTTGAGAGTAAGGAGTTGAAGTGTGAATCCGCGTACAGATCCTTAGAGTGGAAGTACTTAAAGTAAAAGAGTATAAGCGGTTAGAGTAACAGTTTAAAATCTGAGTTGAAGTAGGTAAAGTTAAAATTCAAAGATTGAAGTTAGAGTTTATTGTGTTACAAGTAGAGTTTAAAAACTTACACTTTAAGGGGTTAAAGTTAAAGTTTAAGGGGTTAGAGTTAGAGTTTAAGGGGTTAGAGTTTAAGGGATTAGAGTTACAGTACAAAGACACAGAGTTTAAGGGGTTAAAGTTAGAGGGGCTAGAGTTTATGGACTTGCAGTTAAAGACCTAAGGTTAGTATTTAATTATTAGGATAACTCCTTAAACTCTAACTTTAAATTACTGTATAATTACAACTTTGCAACTAAAATAAGAAAAAACAATAGACAACAGGGATAATGATAATATACATAATATGTACATGTATACATAATCTGTAAATGTTTAATAACATCTTTCATTCTTTCTGTCTCTTTCCCTCTCTCACCGTTTTTGGACACTCCTCAGTGATTGGTCCAATGCAGCGCTGCATGCAGGCCGCACGAGGGAATGTAGCGTCATATTCTCCTGTCCATGGTGTGACCAGCTGGGGTGGTCTCCAGCGGTTAGATGCTACAGGTGGGTCAGCAAACGGAATTCCGTAGAACATGTGTGCTTTATCTGCAGTCAGTCCTCTAACGATGCCATCTTTAGTCAGAACTCTGGGCCCTTTGTTGTTGGGGTCATTTTTGTGGTCTCCCAGCAGCTGGCCTCGCACCAGAACTCCAGCAGTGATTCTGCGGATCAAACCAGCTAGGCTAATCTCCTCCGCAGCACTGGACACGGCTCTGACCAACACACATACCAGCAACACACTCCTGTACACCACCATCTTCATCACAGAAGGTTCAATGATCAACAAAGTCCCAGAGAGATGTAGCTTTGGGTTTGGCAAATTCACTCTGCTCTAACACTAACATCTCCACCTTTCTCAGCGTGGGCAGGGCTAGCGCTCGTGATTCCAATTACAGATGGCCAGCCCTACGACTGTCCACTGTATGTGTGTGTGTGTGTGTGTGTGTGAGTTTGAGTGTGTGTGTGAGTGTGTAATTAAGAGCACATGGTCTGTCCTTTAGCAAACCAGCTAAAGCAGATTCCCATGATGTTCATATTCAGCCTGGTGACATCACAGAATGAGTCAACAAATGTAGTTTCTATTAAAGGAAACTGCAGCAATAAAAGGAGTTTATTGTTTTATTTGGGTGTTCATTCATCTGGGGAAATTTTCCTTTTCATATTTGACTTCTTAAACAAATGTCCTCTTTCCCATTACTTAACTATGATAATTCATAGCGTTCTGTTCAAAGAGAAGTTTGTCACATAGCTAGTACTGCTACTAAGCTCTGTTTGACTGGCTCGCGTTGCTGCTACAAGCTCTGGCTACCATTTCTTCTACTGAGTGCTGACTGGCTGGCTAGCTGCTACTAATGGATAATTGGCTTACTAAATTTGCTGCTACTAAATGTTGATTAGCTGGCTTGCATTGCTGCTACTAAATGCTGACCGGTTGGCTAACATTACAGCTACTGAGTGCTGATTGGTGGCAGTACGACATTACACAATAATCACAAATAAAACCACGAGAAAACAACCTTTTGCGTATTCACTCTCTTTTTCTGTAGGCTAAGTGATGCATATAATAAAGATGTCTTGTCTCTGCCTCTACATGATTTGGACTCGATCTTGTCTCAGTCTCAGGGTAAGGTGGAATCAGAAACTGTTCTTGAGACCAGCCAAGTGCGATGCCTCTGTCTGCAGGCCTGCGGAACCATGGTGGCACGCAGGCATTTGACCCACCACTTTTTAAAGTACTTTGGTGACACCCCACTACTTTGTGAGCTCGGAACGCGCACATAAGAACCTCAGTTTTCCCTAATCTGCATGAAGGAGTGACCAGCACAAACAGACAGAGTAAAACTGAATGGCAGAGTCAATCAGAATCTCCATTTCAGCTGGGGGACGCTTTTAGATCTGCCTTGGATGGTGCAGACCCTTTTTTTTTAGCTCGGTTTTGACATGTGAACACTGCACCTGTACTCAGATCCGTACCAAACTACAGAACCACGCTAAGTCACGAGGCAATTCAACACGTTTTTGCAGAGCATATTTTCGCTGTACTGTCTGTATAATTAGCTGCTTTAACATTTCTCTCTTTACAAACGCTCATGTTGTTCCTACACTGTGAACTGCTGTAAATAACAAAAGAAAAGCAAAAAAATAGTAATATGTGCTTGATTATGGATTGTGGAGCTAATTTTTGGCCAAGCGTCAGCAATCTGATCAGCTAACTTTAAATTGGTATACACACAGATGATCAGCGTCTTTATTTTCTGTTTTTCGGTTTTCATGGTGGTGAATGTGAGAACAACTGAGCGCTTGCTTCTGATCAATAAACAAACACCCACATGTGTAATTTAGTCCACTGCAGTCCACCATCTGAACCAAAAGAAGAGTGATACAATATCACAAAAAAAACACACTGTGTCAAGTTCAGAGGTGGGTAGAGGAGCCTAAATCAATACCCAAGTAAAAGTATTGATACTTGCATAAAATAATTAAGTAAAAGTAAAATTATCTTTACCAAAACAACTTGAATAGAAATATAAAAGTAGCAGGTCAAAAATTTACCTAAGTACTGAGCACTGCAGTTCTGAACTTACTACATCCAGCATTTATCAGCATAGGAACTGAAGATTGTGCAGCTCTGTTCTTCTCTTTTTGGGATTTTTGGTCTAAAATACAAAGCTCCAAAGTAAATTGCATTTCATCACTCAGACAGCTGTTTTTTTGTTTTGGTTTTTTATTCTGAACCAATCTATTATAATTGAATATCAACAAAACCTTCAAACAAAATAAAACCCTTCTTTCTTGAAATCCTCTTGAAACTCTTTTCCTTTTACCCGAATGTAGTTGAGATCATCCAAGACACATTCTCTTAGTTTTGCACTGTAGCTACAAAAGCTAATGTAGCTAACCAGCAAAGGAAGCGCATACACACCAACTAGCATCAGGCAAACTGCATGCCTTAATCATCTCATACATGCCTCAGTTATCGAACTGTAATCTCAAATAGACTTTCTCATGTGGGTTCTGACATTTTATTTTTTACCGTTATCTACAAAAATGAACAAAATTACAGATATAATTTAGACTTCTAGAAGACTACTTCCTCTATTTTAGCTATTAAATATACTTTTCACTTAACCAGAACTATTATGTTAAACATGGAGAAATTACAATCAAGTAATTCAGCTCAACAATTTTACAGTTACAAGTTAGGTCAGAAATTCACAAATTACATTGCTTTCCAGTTATTTATTTTTGAGTGATTAATTTCTATAGGTTAAAAGATCAATTTGTACATAATTCAGCAGTGATTATAGCTATATATATATATATATATATATATATATATATATATATATATATATATATATATATATGTATATATATATATATATGTATATATATATATAGCTATGGCATTTTAAATGGAGTGCAATAAAGTCTGTCTGCAATCAGTTGAGGAACTTGTGATCAAACCCACATTTTTAAATATGTATTCAGAATGCATTTATTTCCTGAATACAGTACAGCATAAAACATTTTAACACTCCTGTTATATTTCTGAGCACTTTTGAACTCCACTTATAGGATTTCATAACAGTCAATAAGCCCGAAGTGCTTCACTTAGCTGATGAGCTGATCATCTCGCCAACCAATCAGCTCTCAGTAGTGGTAATACCAGCCAGTCAGCTCTCAGTAGCAGTAATGCCAATCAGTCAGCTCTCAGTAGCAGTAATGCCAATCAGTCAGCTCTCAGTAGCAGTAATTCTAGTGTCCTACTGCCCAAAACCCATTTGCTGTAGATAAAAAGAAAAATACAGGTAAGCTTTTCTGTTGCTTTGCTTTTTGAGAGAATTACATCTTTCTACTTTCCAAAATTAAAGGAAGGTCTTGGGCAATTAAATTTGGACAATACTTAAAAAGTGCTTTAACTTTTCACTGTTAGCTCCGTATACAGCCATTCATTAAGGACTATCACAAAGCTAGCATGTTTTTGATATAATGAGACGAAGTGGCCAGGCTCCTCTTAAAGCACATCTGTGACAACAGCGGTTTACTTTTCTGAGATTTGTTCTAGTTTTCTCCCCAATTTAGGTGTATCCACATCCACCTACTAGTTAGACATACCCCAGCATCACCAGGGATCAAGCTTGCCATCTCTTGATGATGGGGTCAACGCTTACACCGTTACACCACTTTTTGCTGTTTCACAGAACCAACAGGTCAGTATTGTATTGTCCCGTTTGCTAATGTTTGTGATAGCTAATCTCAACTGCTGCACCATTTCAGGTGGAAAGGGAAAACTAAATTCAGCCTCGTAGTTTTAACCCTGGTAGTATTTTTTGATCAGGAGTTATAGCCTATTAAAATGTCCTACCTAGAAGTGCTGTGTACTGGTATACCTGTAAATATGCACTATGGTAACATTAGAACATTTTGATAAGGTAGCACAACTCGCCACAACACCACCAAAGCCCACCTTAGTTTTGTGTAGCTAAATGACATCAAATTGATGTGCAGTAGCTTTAGCCTGCATGTAGCAATATTAGTGTCAAGGCTCTTTAACAACTGCAAATTTGGAGGAACCAGTGATATTAACAGGACAGGACAAAGCGTGTCGGGTTCTGAACATTTTCATTGAACACAGGGTGCGACAGTTCATTCTGGCCGTAGAGAAATCCATCTTCGACCCGGAGTTCCTAATTTGGGCATAACGCGGACTACAGAATGACGCACTACGCGAGTGGTCTGCCTAGGAAACCTTGTGCACTTTCAGCCACTGTCACAAGAGGGTGCCAGCGAGTTACAGTGTGCCTAAAACACAAAGAAGAAGAAGAAGAAACTGCGACGATGGCGGCGCCCGGAGAGAAAAGCGTGAGAGAGAAAGAGAAAGAGAAAAACAACAAACACAGGAAAGAAAAACAGAATACAGGTAAAGTAATGAAGCACATCTATGCCGTAGAGTCGTACTGGCTGATAGGGAGAGGAGTTTTGTCTTCTCGCTGCGGAAACCGTGAAGTTCTGAGAGAGAAACACGCTCTTTAGTTTTTAATCAAAACTAGATTTAATTTCACATTGAACTAACTACAGTTTCTGTTACATTTGGAACCGTAAAGAAGGTGGAAGATAAAGTCTTACACTGTGTTCATGCCTTTACTTTGAATTCTCTACACCAGCTTCTTTTTGGAATTTTCCGTTCCACCTTAAATGGTGCAGCAGTTACCGCTGGACCATTTAAGGTGGAACGGAAATAAGAATAAGAAGCCAGCTTCAGCCTCTTTCTGTACCTCATCTCATCTAAACTAGATTTACTTTTATAATAATAATAATAATAATAACAATATTATCAATTTAAAGAGCACTTAAATGGTTAAAAGCACTTAACTCTACAGTAAACTGAATAAGAACTCTGTGGCGCCTTTCTTTTTAAGAGCCTGTATGTTTTGGAATGTTATAGCACTGTTATTAAAATGCTTACAGACTTTATCTAGCTGTGTGTGGATAATAATAATAATAGTAATAAGAGTGCTAATGATAGTAATGATTATATTAATTGTTGTTGCTTTATATAGCATATACCATTTATATATACACCATATACCATTTCATATTTAATAATGCAACTCTAAGTGCTCCATAGTGTATGCAGTGTATGATAAAAAGAAAAAACGTTTTTAATAAAAGTTGAAAAAAGGAGGAAAAAACAAGAAAGCATTAGAAGAACATTAGTATTACACAAAATATACGTATAATATGCGGCATGGTGGCGCAGTGGGTAGCGCTGTTGCCTCACAGCAAGAATGGCCTGGGTTCGGTTCCCGGCCGGGCAGCCAGGGTCATTTCTGTGTGGACTTTGCATGTTCTCCCCTGTGTCTGCGTGGGTTTCCTCTGGGTACTCTGGTTTCCTCCCACAGTCCAAAAACATGCAGTCAGGCCAATTGGACATGCTAAAATTGCCCCAAGGTGTGAATGTGTATGTCTGTCTGTCTGCCCTGCGATGGACTGGCGACCTGTCCAGGGTGTATGCTGCCTTCCGCCCAATGACAGCTGGGATAGGCTCCAGCACCCCACCGCGACCCAGAAGGATGAGCGGTTTAGATGATGTGTGTATGTGTGTGTGTATTTTTACCGGATGAATAAATAAATAAAGGTATTATGTTTTCTTCTGCTTTTTGAACCAGTGGTTGCCTTATAAACATTAGTGTATAAAAATTAATTCTGTTTTATAGATGAGTCTGAGCTGCTGACGGTTCCAGATGGTTGGAAGGAGCCCCAGTTTACGAGGGAGGATAACCCTCGGGGGCTACTGGAGGAGAGCAGTTTTGCCACCCTCTTCCCCAAATATCGTGAAGCCTACCTGAAGGAGTGCTGGCCGCTGGTGCAGAAAGCTCTCGGGGAAATCGTGAGTTTAAATCGGTGCAGGACAAATATTGTTGACATGTTTGGTTTCTGAAGTTTGCTTCTTTAGTTTGAGCACTGGAGCTATGAGGCTAATGTTGCTAACAAGTAATGGAAGCTTATACTCCACCAAGTAGCATGATGCTAACTGCATCACACACCTGCCTCAAACCAAGTTGTTAAGTAATTTCAAATTTGCTTGCTTATGTAGTTTCTGACACTGTGTGACATACTGTTATCTGTCAACATGGACTGTTCAGTCCATGTTCATAGGTAACAATATTTCATACAGTGTCAGAAAGTACATAAGTATATGACTCTATTTCTGTTTATTCCTTGCAGTTTATCAATGCTACTCTGGATCTGATTGAAGGCAGCGTCACTGTGAGCACCACAAAGAAGACCTTTGACCCTTATGCTATCATCAGAGCCAGAGATCTCATCAAACTTCTGGCAAGAAGTGTTCAATTTGAACAGGTAAAGACTAGGGCTGTCAGCTGGGCCAGTTAAATTAAAATTTTCCTCTTGTTTGTTTTTTTTAGTTATCACAATATCTTAAATTTTTATTATTATTTAAAATTATGTAATTGATATAATTTAAGATTTTATTGTTTAATATCATTTAATATTGCATTTTTTATATTATTTTTCAAGACACAAAGACAATAACAATGGTAACTGTAGTAAATGCCAGATTTTGTAGTCAGTGTTATGCCTTATATATCTGTTATATCTGAGGGCACTCAGCATAAATATCAAACATTTGCAAAAGCTCACAGTGTTATAAACCACTGATTTTCTCTGTGTGAAAGAACGGTGTCCAACAGAGTTTTCATATTCATTTATATTACTATATGGAACTTTTAAATTGAATATATGTATTACTGAAGGGACTCTGTCTATTTCAGGCTGTTAGGATTCTGCAGGATGGTGTGGCATGTGATATAATAAAGATTGGTACGCTGGTGCGGAACAGAGAACGCTTTGTGAAACGCAGACAAAGACTGATTGGACCTAAGGGATCTACACTAAAGGTGAGCAGAAATCAGTATTGTCTATTATATTGGACCTAAGGGCTCTACACTAAAGGTTAGCAGAGCTGTGTAAACTTGGAAGTGAGGGCTCTATGCTGAATGTGAGCAAACATCACTGCTGTGTAATATTGGACCTAAGGGCTTTATATTAAAGATCAGTGCTGTGTAATTTTCGACCTTAGAGATCTGTGCTGAAAATGGGCTCTATGCGCAAAGTGAACAGTTATCAATGCTGTGGTTAATAGTGGACCTAAAGGATTTACACTGAAGGTAAATGGACTCCAGTGCTGTGTAATATTGAACATTAGGGCTCTATACAGAGATTAGTGCTGTAATTCTTTTGTTCTGCTGCAGACAGCGCCTTTCAGACACTATCATGTTCTTAGCAGAAAATGACTACTGGGGCAAAAAAAACAGCGCTTTTTGTTGTAGTTATTAGGTGTGGACACTGTGTGGCAGCAGAATTCTCACTGTAAGAGTAGGGTTATAGATTTGTTGAAAATTTGTTGCTTTATTTTGTTTTGAGACTTTATTAAAGAATGCTGAGTGGTGAAGACCAAATGAGGGTAAAGACCGAGACCTAGACACATTGAGTCCGAGTCAGGATTAAGACTTTGTAGTAAGTTAATTTTGCTCTTATTGGCACACAATATGCAACTATAAAGTGTGTCCTCTTAATAACATTCCAATGCTCAATAAGTATTGAGTGTATTTTGCCAACATTTTCCTCTCTCACTGTAAACAGGGCAATAATCTTGAGCACTCAGCAATCAAAGGGGTGATGGGGGTTGTCCTGCCAACATATGTTTAAACAAAACTGTTTCCTAGCGGTATCTGTTTTTTATTTTCAAGTCGGAGAAACTTACTGTGAGAAAGTTAACGACAAACCCGCCCAAGTTCAATGAGCAATGATGATGTGAAGCCAGAAAGCATGTCTCTTTAGCAACAAACCAAACCGAAGGTAGTCACTTAAGCAACCATAACTGATGAATTCATAAATGGTACTCCATGTGACACAAAAAAAGCAGGCAGTGGAGCGAAATTACTAGGGGTGGGAATCTCTAGGCACCTCACTATTTGATTACGATTCAGAGGGCTGCGATGCGATTATAAAACGATCATCAATGTTTGGAGGAAAAACGAATGTATGGCAAAAGGTATTGGTTTTTAACATTTTTTTGTTAACCACAGGACAGACACAGCTTTCATTTTTGTCACAGAGATACAGAATGATGACATGACTTCAGAGCTCTATACTTCATGAAAACGCACAACGAATACCATACCAAGTTAGCTACATTAGTTTCGGTAGCACACTATGTGTTGACAACTGGCAGAAGTACTGAGCCATGTTTAGCTTGACCATGAACTGCACGGATAGCAACAGGAAACCATCTATTTCCTGCCTACAGACAACCATTTTACCAAGGACTACATAGGAGTAAAATGTTTAAATGTGTAAAGAGTGATTTTTCATTTTTATTTGCATTGGCTCAGAGCTTATAATTAGAGCTGTGTTTATTATTAAATTATTATTTTCCTTATCATTTTATTAAACATTTAGTCAGGTACCTTTTTAAACAGATTTGGTTATCTGATGTTTATATATTTTTATGGTTTTACTGTTAACTCTGTTTCACAGAAAAGCCAGAAGCACTTTGAGATGTACAAGCAAAAAAATATTTGTATGTAAATATAGAATAAATATTTGCAGAGCATTCTTTGTATCTCTTTTTATTTCACAAAATGTCCTAAAATATTGTGATATTATTTGAAGGCCATGTCGCCCGCTCTTGATGATGATTATCATACTGTGAGACAGTAAGCTGCCTTGCTGTGGTGATGTTTATTGTTTGTATTTTTTGTTTATTGATTATGTTCTCCTCTGTAGGCTCTGGAGCTGCTCACTAACTGCTATGTGCTGGTTCAGGGAAACACTGTATCAGCACTGGGACCTCACAGCGGCCTGAAGGAGGTATACACACACACATGCATACATACATTCTTGTTCACACACACTGTATACATACATATCCATCACGCTCTCTCCCCCTCCCTCTCTCTCTCTGTCTGTTTCTTGTTTCTCTGTAGGTGAGGAAAGTGGTGCTGGATACCATGAAGAACATTCATCCCATCTACAACATCAAGGTACATAAGCTGTGTGTGTGTATGTGGGACAGTGTTGCCTGTGCAGCATTGCTGTATGTACGTTTGCAGGTTTGTGTCACTGTTTGTTTGAGATGATTTTTGACATATTATAGCAACCCCTCCTCCTTAAGTTTTAGCACTGGACTGTTATCTGCCTGCCGAAATCATCACACACTCACCTTGAACTGTGTCGAGTTGTTAAGTGTCTAAAATAGACTTGCTTATGTGGCTTCTGACAATGTTGGATCCACTGACATAATGTCAGAAACAGTATAAGCTACATTTGGATTAAGGTGTGAATTGTGTAAATTACGTTTTTTCACCAAACTGTGCATGTTCTCCTCATAGACACTGATGATAAAGCGAGAGTTGGCTAACGATCCTGAACTGCGCACTCAGAGCTGGGACAGATTCCTGCCCAACTTTAGACATAAAAGCCTATCCAAACGACAACAACCCAAAAAGAAGAAAGTTAAGAAGGAATACACACCATTCCCTCCACCACAGCCCGAGAGCCAGGTCAGTTCAACATAGACACCATGTTGATTATTGCAGATACAATATTGAAAAAGCGCTCAATGATGTTCATATCATCCACACAGCCGTATTGACCAATTGTAATACATTACAGAAAATGTAGAGGGCGATATGATTTGAAATAGAAATAGGTGTTAAATTAGATAGGTTTGTTTATTCGATATCGCACCCAGCACACAATCATTGCTATGTCAGAGAAAAGGGAGTGTTTCTCTCATTTGTGGGTGACGTAGCCAGTCTAACCAAACACACTTGTTTATATCTTACAGTATCAATAATTATTTAAAGTCTAAATGGTATTTTGGACCCTGAATGCACAAGAATAGTTCATAGCATTATGTGGAAGACATTGCACATATTTTTATATGATCATTATTGTTCAGTTCAGTCTAGGCCTAATCCTTTTCCTCTTATAAACCAAAACACCTCAGATCTCTGATTTCCCATCTGTGCAGTTTTTACACAGTGCTGATGACTTTGTTTATTTCTGTATTTGTATCTTATTGTAATTAATCATGGTCTCTGGTGTTCTTACTGTAATTAATCATGGTCTCTGGTGTTCAGGTTGACCGTGAGCTGGCCAGTGGAGAGTTCTTTCTGCGAGAGAGTGAGAAGAGAAGGAGGAAAATGAAGGAAATCAAGGTGAGAGATGGTTTAGACACCCCTGCCTACTGTACAAGAACGTATGTACACACTTCTTCTTCAGTAGTTCTGTCATGTTGATCTAAAAGTCATTTTTGAGACTGATAGTTTGCAAAAATATTTTTTATATAAATAAACATATTCATAATACCAATGGGTCGGGTGTTTCTGTACCAACGATCCGAGTTATTAATATGCATTAGTATTTTTAGAAGAGCTGAAACACACACACATAATCTAAACTGCTTATCCTTCTGGGTCACGGTGGGGTGCTGGAGCCTATCCCAGCTATCATTGGGTGGAAGGCTAAGGCTAAAACAATTATTCAATAATATTGACAGTTTTATGTAATTTTATTTGTTGTCGATTTTTCATTTACATTTTCAAGGTGACATACAACCTACAGTGAGTTAAAGACTTAACCTAAAGAGGACAATAATTCACTTACAGTACTTCGCTTACAGTATTTGTACCTATCTGAGCAAACAGTGAAAGAAAAGAAAAAAGTCTGAGAGCGTTTTCTTAAAAAGGATAAAGTAGTCACATAGAACATATACAGTCTGACATAGCCTTCCATGGAGGGACCTTCAACCACTGAAAAAAAACAAAAAAAACATGCAGGGGTCGAAGCAACAACTCCGTGAGTAAATGTACAAAGCTGTTAGCTTCTTACAGGTGGCAGCATGAAACTGCTGCACCATTTAAGGTGAAATGGAAAATTCGGGTAGGAAGGTGAATAGGAAGCCAACTTCAACCTCGTAGTAAATTGTAGCTTTCAGTCATGCTGGAGTTCTGCCAAACTTTACTACTCCCTGAGGACATGCACATCGCACTTTAAGCTGTTTTTTTAGAATTACCTAACATTCTCCTTATAAACATCACTAAAGCTCAACACGGTAGCCATTAGAATATTCTAAGCTGTATCAGTTTCTGTTCATTAGAAATATTTAGCTGCTACTTCAAAAACTACTTAATTATTAAAACTATTATAACCTGCTGTAACTCACAGTTGTGGGCTTAAACAAAGTGCTACATTTTTTTCTGTGGTTCTAATTAAGCTTTGGTGAACCGAACCTCAGTTTATCATAATGTTGCCAAACATTTTATTGTTACAGTTCTTCACATTTATGGGCCAAATTTAAGCCGATTAATCGGTTATTAGCCGATTAATTCACATGAATATAATACATATGTTATATATCACAATAATATATTACATTTGTATGCTGTAAGGTATACAGCTGCACCATAACCTTGTACTGATGATTTCTTTTTTTCTTCCATTTTTTGTGTAGATATATTGTTTGTTTCAGATAAAAGATAAAGAAGATTATTATTTTCTGGTATACATTTTTAGTCATTTAAAATTTTCCCACCTCAATCCCTATGAAAATTCTCTGTTTGAAGGTGAAGCAGGCTGAAGCTCTGAGCAGGAAACAGGAAGAGAGGAAGAAAGCGTTTATTCCTCCTAAAGAGAAACCTGCTGAGAAGAAAACCAAAAAAGGTAAATCGAAAAAACATTTTATAACATTGTTCCCATATTTATACTCAGTCAGCACTGAGATTCTGATTATTTAAGTTACACAACTAGACATGCCAACCAGCAAAAACTATACATCTGCAAACGCCGATAAAACTCTGCAGTGTGAGTCTGTATCTTGGAATTAGAATTTTGCCCCCCCCCTTTTTTAATGAAATAGCGTGATGTATGTAAACACAAACAAAATGTACTTTTCAAGCCATACAGTCTAAATATGTAAAAAACAGCTTGTTGTGAATTTGTTGTTTTTGTCACAATAACTAACATATATCTGCGTATTCAGTCTAAAGCAGTTTAGCCCCATCCATTCACACCAAAGTTCTAAGGAGTTTTTCAGCCCAGGCTGCTTTTTGAATTAGGCACAATACAGAGCAGCCAGCCAGAGCTCACTTACATATGCAGTTGTATGTAGAAGTTTTTGTTTGGTTGATTTCCTAGGTTGGCACATGCGCCACAGGAAACAATCTTGAACTTAAAAAACTTAAACCTTTTTCTACACAAACATTTTAGTGCACAACTTTTATATACTTGCTCAGTTTAACAAATTCGATACAACTTTCAAGTAGAAGATGAACATAATGTAATATGACTAGGAGTGCCCAAACTTTTACATATGACTAGTGGTCTTAAAGGCATAGTAATAAAAACAGCCTGTTTAATTTTGTGAGATAATGACAAGTTGAAATTGCAATGTAAAAATTAGAATTTAGAATATGGATCCTTGGTATGAAGAATTATCATTAATATGTTTATATATCTTGTAGCTCCTACGGAGGATAAACTGGACATCCAGGCCATTAAAGAGAAAGTGAAGAAGGCTAAAAATAAGAAGCTTGGAGCTCATCCGCCACAGCTTGCAGCGCCCCCTGCAGACGGGAAGAAGAAGAAGAAGAGTAAAAGCTAATTTTTTAGCTGCAGGATGGACAGTCGTTGGAATTTTCTCTGCAGGAAGCTGGAGAAATATCTTGTGGAGATGTGTATATTCTGATGGACCCAGCAGAGTGTGTGTGTGTGTGTGTGTGTGTGTGTGTGTGTGTGTGTGTGTGTGTGTGGTTTTAGTGACCCATTCTATCTATAAAATGTTTATATATACATGAAAACATGCTGTACTGTTCACATGTTTTGGCAGGAGGTCAGTTTTTTGTTAGTATTAAAGATGAACCTGAACCTGAAGCTGAAGTAGAGGGTTGTTGTTTGTTTATTTCATTGATGTATTACAGAATGAGTTAACCTATTTAATTTTGCAATAGAAGTCCAATTCACAAGGACCGCATTTCTGTGTTTTTACCTGTCCTTCTGTCAGAACAGATATGCTTCCATTTAACTACATGGCCAAAAGTATGTAGACACTTGACCATCATACCTATATGAGCTTGACATCCCATTCCAAAATCATGCCATTAGTATAGAGTTGACATCCAGTGCAGCTATAACAGCCTAAACTTTTCTGGGAAGTGTTTCCACATGATTTGTGGTGTGTCTGTGGAAATTTGTCGCTTTTCTGTCAAAATAACTTTTGTGTTGAGCACTGATAGTGCCTGGCTCAGGTTGTGTTGAGTGCGGCTGAGGGCTCTGTGCAGGTTACTGGAGTTCCTTCACACCAAACTCACCAAACCCTGTCTTTATGAATGTTGCTTTGTGCACAGGTAAACGATCATGCTGGAACAAGAAAGGCGGGTGTGTAGCTGCTCAGCCGTTGAAACATTTTCCATGTAGCTCCCAACACACAGTTCTTGTGCTTATGTTACTTCTAGAGGCAGTGTGGAACTCTGTAGTGAGTGATGTAACAGAGGATAGGTCCTGTGTGCTTAAGCACTCAATGGCCCGCTCTGTGAGTTTGAGCGGTGTACTGCTTTGTGTAAAATACAGGGTGATTCAAAAAGATTCATCTGTTTTCAAAGCACCATATTTTTACAACCGTGAGGCGCCTAGGAACCATTCACATACCGACTGAAAGAGGGGGTCATAGGGTTTATGACTGTCACTGAAAGAAAGCAGTCTGCGAGGAGATGGCGACCCCTGAGCAGAAAGCGTTTTGCGTTCTCCACTTCAATAAAAGTGAATCCGTCATGTGCAACGTGATTTTTGTCGGCAGCGAACCTCCAACAGTTCAGAGCATTTGTCTTTGGTTCCAAAACACTGGATGATCTCCGAAATCACTTTGAAACAGCCGTGAGTACAGTGACACTGATGAACTTGTTGTCCGTACAGCTGGAGGAGGTCATATTGAGCACTTGTAAAATTACATAATAAACTTTATGCTCACTTAAACCATTTACAATTTACTGCATTGTTCTGTAATGATTTACAAGTGAAATCAATCATTTGAATTCGGATGAATCTTTTTGAATCACCCTGTATATACCTTACTATGCATTAATATAAAATAGTATTTATAGTTGACTGGGAAGAGCTTATAAGTGCAAAATTTGCTACAAACTAAATTACCTTGTGGCAAAGGTGGCATCCTATGGCCGCGCCACGTTTAAAGTCACTGAGCTCTTCAGTACATACTGCCATTATTTGTCTATGGAGATTTCAGGCTATGTGCATAATTTTATACACCTGTTAGCAATGAGTGTAGCTGAAACACCGGAACTATTAGGAGGGGTGTCCATATCAGAAGCTTTTTGATGAGGGGTTCTGCCTGCGTTACCGGAGTCAGTTGAACCACTTGTTGCCTCTGGGGACGGGGATGTGTTGGTGGAAGTGAGAACGACTCCATCTGCTCCTGGCATAGATCCTGGTGGTACAGCTCGTGCTGATTTGCGGTCTGCTTCTACTGCTTTTACTCCTGCTCGCGACGCTGATCCCACCTCGGATCCTGTCACCCCTGGGTTACGTGAATACATTAGTCTTGTTCCTCCATTCAGAGAAACTGAAGTTGATTCGTACAATCCGCAGCCGTTGAACGCACAGCGACGGCTCTTCAGTGACCGAAAGAGGTCTAGGCCTTACTTTTACAGTGTAAACTGGTAGGTAAAGCCCAGGAGGTTTGCGCTGCTTTGTCAATTGACCATAGCTTAGATTATGCTAAGGTTAAAGCTATGGTGCCTGAAGCATACCGGTGTCGTGCCGAATTCCGACTCCGCACGCGCTTCACGTAAACATGTAGACAGGATCTAAAGCCAAACAAAGACTCCCGCCGTGATGGTTTAGTTTAATATTATGGAATAAAAACGATTATTGTTGTTGCAGTGCTTGAGAACTGGTGGGACTGAACGCCTTTCAGTCATGACGATAAGTATTAAGACACATTAAACACAGCTTTAAACCTCTGTCTGGAGCAAGAAAGTTCACATCTGATGACCTGACGCTGCAGCATTAGCTGACTGTTTTTCTGGTCATTATTCAGCAACGAGACTTTCACTGCTTTCATAGGACAAATTAACGAATTAGTATGCATTACTGCATAAAAGAGCTGCCTATAATTAAAAATTGTAGTAATAACAATTGTTGTAATGGTAGTAATTTAAGATTAATTTTGGTTGAAAAGTCAGCAGCTTTTACATAGTCAGAAGGTGTATTGTGAACCTGTCAAAATGATGCCCCTCTTATCTCTAGGGATGCATTATGACTGGAATGATTAACTTATTCTGCTGATTCTGGTTCATAGATTACCGCATATAAAGCATATGTCTCTAAATTCAACAGGGGGGATTTTATTGGAGGGGGTAGAATTTTGGCAGTATTATTTCTGACACCTGCCGAAATTATACTCCCCCTCTGATCTGGGGGGACTTTACTGGGGGGAGTATGCATTTCACTCTCAGTCGAAGTCTTCTGTAAAAGCACCTAAAATGGTTGGTTTTATTGGCGCTTCAAAGTCAAATGTCCTGTTGACAAACGAGAGTGCACCAAATTCAGTTTACGAACCTTTTATTTTGGAGGGTTTGGTCTCGCTTACTGGTGAGGAAAAAGATCAGATTAGTTAAAATACTAAGGGATACGGGAGCTGCCCAGTCTTTTATTTTAGAATCAGTTTTACCATTTTCTGACACAACTGCATGTGAGTCTGATTTGCTAATTCAAGGGATTGAGTTAGGTGTGTGTAGAGTTCCACTACACTCAGTTTATCAAACCAGTTTAGTGTCGGGTATCGTGAGAGTTGGAAATTGTTCCCAGTTTCCAATGACCCGGATTCACTTTATCTTAGGGAATGATTTAGCTGGTGGAAAAGTTGTTCATTTACCTGAGGTTGTATATGAACCTGAAGTTTCTCCTTTAACTGATGAGGTTAAAATCTTTCCTGCGTGTGCCGTGACTCGAGCACAGTCACGGAAATATGCAGATCAGATCAACCTTTCTGAGTCTTTTTTGGGTTCTTTTAAAGCTGAATCAGGGGTGCCGACTGCTTGTATAATTTTGCCGTCTGAGGTTTTGTATGAAGGTGATAGTGAGTCAGTGTCCACATTAAATTTGGGAGGGACACTTTAATAGAGGCGCAGAGTAAAGATTCCTCCCTCTCTAACTGTAGAGCTACTGCGGTGACTGAACAGGAGATGTCTGAGCATGAAGTAACTGCTTTTACTGGAACAGTGTACTAATGCGAAAATGGACTCCTAAGGATTTAAAGCAACTTGAGTGGAGTGTGACATATCAACTCGCTGTTCCTACCCCCTATAGAAAACAAATCCTTGGTCTTGCCCATGATCATGTATCTTCAGGCCATTTGGGAGTATGGAAAATAAGTATAATCGGATTATACGTTATTTCTTTTGGCCAGGTCTAAAAGCTGATGTGGTTAAGTACTGTCATTCTTGTCACGTGTTTCAGGTCACTGGTAAACCCAATCAGGTTATTCCATCTGCCCCACTCCACCCAATTCCAGTGTTAGGAGCTCCCTTTGAACATCTCATCATTGACTGCGTAGGACCATTGCCCAAGACCAAGTCAGGAAACATGTATCTACTCACCTTGTATTGGTACTCGCTATCCTGAAGCCATCGTTGCGCAATTTAAAAGCTAAAGGCATTGTGAAAGCACTGATTAAATTCTTATCTACGTTTGGGTTACCCAAACACATTCAGACAGATCAGGGATCAAATTTTACATCACATTTGTTTGCTCAAGTCATGAAATTGCTAGCAGTAAAACATCACATGTCCAGTGCTTATCACCCTGAATTAGCAGTTACGTGTTAACTACAACGTTTAAGACCATTTATTGTGAAAACTTCAACAGTTGACAGTGCTTTGCACAAAATTGTTTGGTTTGTATCAGTTATTTTTGTTGATTTTTGTTAGGAAATACCTGACATTGCCTTTACTTAGTCTAAATTTTTGTTGAATATCACACCTTTGGTTGTGTAAGTTTGATTGTTGATTACACTGTGAAGATGTATTTGGCTTTTACGTGTGGCTTACTGGTAAGGTCTGCGAGGGTGAGACAACCAATAGGATGGGCAAGTCCAAAAGTAGAGTGCAGAAGCAAGCGGTTTATTTACACGACATGAAAACAAAAACTGTACAAAGGGGAAAATAAACGGAGGATAGAGTATTTACAGTATGTACAAACACTAAGCGTCAGGCTTAGTCATGGCATGGGAAGCAGCCACGAGGCTGGGTCCCAACTCACTTTAAAACTTCCCCACACCATTATTTTAGACACTACAAGCAGCTAGTGTTCACGGTGGCAAACAGAGTTGTGGGGAGAAGTAGAAGACCTCTCCAAGGAACCCTCAAATTTTTAAGTCTAAAGCCCCGCGCTCGGAAATCCCATTCCCCACCATGAGGTCAGAACAGTGTGGTTTACACCTAAAACAAATGATAGCGCTATACACGACAGTCAACCTAGGTTAAGCAATTCATTACCGGTAAGGACATCGTCTTGGCCATAAACTTATAACAATTAATTATTTTATTTTTCCCCCACAGGATGATAGATGAGGAATGGACTTTTCTCCCCATCGGGGGATCCTCCCGATAAGGATAAGCTAAGTAGGTCTCCCTGCTGTCCCCCTTTTACTATTTTCCCTTTCACAGGCAGACACAGGTAAGTACCTTCATATATAAACACACATGTATTTTATAGTCCGAGGGATGGTATTCGTCGGTGATGGGGTAGGCCTCGCCTTACCACATCACATACACGTAAACTTATTTTTGGTGATCTTTTTGTATATTTCCAGCTTTTCAATTGTATGTTTCTTACTGGCACATGATTAAATGCAGTGTCTT